CCCCCCACCCCCCGGGCAAAGCCCTGAAGAGCCACACACGAGTGGATCCTGGTCAGGGAGACCCTACAGGTGACAGGGCGGGAGAGGCCGCCAGCAGCCCTGGGAGCCTGTCTTCCCCGCGGCCTGCCTGGGAGGCAGCCAGCACCCGCTCGCTCTCCAGCCTGCCTGTGGCTTCAGCCCCGTCCCCTCCCCCGGCCTCTGGGCTCTGGGCTCCGAATCCTGGAACTGCTCAAAGCTGATTTCTGCTTGTGCTTTCTGTTGCTTAGATCTGATTCTGCAGCTTCAATTGCTTCCTGAGCTGCTCCTGCTGGGACGCTAATGGCTCTTCAGTGGCTGTGTGCCAGAGCCCCGACTGGCTATCTAGCCACCTCCCCACCTTTCCCTCAGTCTCCAAGGAGGCCCAGGGAGGATGGGTTTATGGGGACCATCAGAGAGGTTAGGTGATTGGCCTGAGGTCACACAGCAGCAGAGAAGCACTTGGTAGGATGGAACTAGGATGGGCGAGAGGCCGGAGATGCAGTGGCTGTGGGCCCAGAGCACAGGAAGACCCAGCCTCAGCCCAGCAGCAGGAGGGAGGAGGAACCACTGGCCCCCCAACAGCTCCCCCTCCTGTTCCTCTCTCTGAGCCCCACTCACTGCCTGTTCTCACCTCCTTCCTGGTATTGTCCCTCCTTGTCCGAGCTCCTTATCATTCCATTCCCATGAGGCTGCCCTAGCCCCTGTGGGGGAGCCCCACCCCGCCCGGGCTGGAGAGGGGGGACCGGATGGAGGTGGAGGCCCCAGAGTCACAGGAAATGGGTTCAAGGTCCAGGTTCGGAGCCATAGGACAGCGGGGAGGGTGTTGGCTTTGCACGCGGCTGACCCGGGTTCCATCCCTGGCCCCCCACGGTCCTCTGAGCACCGCCAGGAGCGATCCCTGAGTGCAGAGTCAGGAGTAACCCTGAGCATCGCCGGGCGTGGCCCAAAACGCAAAATAAAATAAAGTCCCTACTTTTGAGGAGTTCGAGCACGTTCCCTCGTACGCCTCGTCTCTCTCTTCTAGTTTTGCTTTTGGGCCCACAGACTATGGTGCTCGGAAGCTGCTCCCTGGGGTGCTGGAGTCGTGCTGGGCCTGCTCCCTGCAAAGCAAGCACTCTGGTCTCTGACCCACCTCTCAGGCTTGTCCGGGAACGTGGATTTGGCGGGGCTGGGCACTACACCCAGGTCTCATGCATGCAGGGCACATGTTTTGCAGCTGAGCCCAGAGAGATCTGCCTGCCCGGCAAACAGAGGGAGAAGAGATGAATAAAGTGAAGAACTAGAAGTTTATTATAAAGTAGGGAAGTAGGTGCCCTTCCGGGCGGAATCCACCCCTAGCCCTAGTGAGCGGCTAGGGCAGTCTTGCCCTGGGAGAGACTAAGCCAGAATTTTCCGTTGTCTTGGGTGGGAAAGGAACCAGGGAGCAGGGGAGCCATGTGCTTGGGCTGACCTGCTGCTTCCTGTAGGGTGTCGGTGTGAGGGAGCACGGGGAGCAGCTTGGTGGCTTCCTGTCCCCAGATTCCTGGAAGTCCTGTCTTCTGCTGGGGGCTGGGCGATCTTTGATCCTGAGAATCGTCACTGTTTCATCCGCTGGCCGCCATTTAGTCCTGAGCAAACCTTACAAGCCCCAACCCCGGCTCTCAGATTCTTCTCTTTTTTTTAAAAAAAAAAAGAATAGGCAACAGTGAAAGCAAACCAGCACCAGTTTGCAAGATCCTGGACTCCCGTGCCGCCTTGCCAGGCCACCCCACCTGCGGACAGACGGACAGAGGGTGGGTGTGGGTGATTCTGCCAAGTGGGAGAGCTAGAAACTTCGAGGAGGGCAAGCCACAGGACAGAGGGGAAGGTGCTTGCCTGCGTGCAGCCCACCTGGGTTGGACCTCCAGTGTCCCAGATGGTCCCCCAAGCACCGCCAGGAGTGAGTCCAGAGTGCAGAGCCAGGAGGAACCCCTGAGCATGTTAGATGTGGCCCAAAAATAGCCACAAAAAAAGAAACTTTCAGGGGAGCCTACCGCTACCCTCTGGACCTGGTCCCCATCATCCAGAAAGTGCCCAAGAGGGGGGTATCAGGACCGCTGAAGTGGCTTCTGATGAGCACCTCGTGGCAGTGGACACTGTGACCCCCAGTCTTACTTGGCAGCTGTCAGACCATGCTGAGTCCCACTGGTCAATGCGTGGGATTTACCCTCGCCACCCAATTTCTCGGGGAGCCGTGGCCCCAGGTTGGAGCGAGTAGTCTGCTCTTTGCAGGGCAAGGGAAGGATGCCCCCGCCTCCGCCCCATCCGTTCCTCTCCGCCTCTGCCTGCCCTGCACAGAGACCCAGGAGAGAGACACAAATAGCGGAGTGGGGGAGAGAAAGAGTTAAGCCAGAGTTAGAGACTTTTCCAGAGCTGAGAGGCAGAGCTGGGCGTGAACCAAGGATGGGGCACATGGACCATGAGAGAAAGAAAGAAAGAAAGAAAGAAAGAAAGAAAGAAAGAAAGAAAGAAAGAAAGAAAGAAAGAAAGGAAGGAAGGAAGAAAGAAGAAAGAAAGAAAGAAAGAAAGAAAGAAAGAAAGAAAGAAAGAAAGAAAGGAAGGAAGAAAGAAGAAAGAAAAGAAAGAAAGAAAGAAAGAAAGAAAGAAAGAAAGAAAGAACAGGCGGGCAGAGAAGCGGGCGACCCAGCGTGGGAAATGCCCCCCTTTGCCGCTGCAGTTAGTGTTTTGTTTATTTATTTATTTGTTTTTTTTTTCCCCTTTATTTTATTTTATTTTTTTTAAAGTTGTAGATTTACAATTTTTTGTGCTTGGGTTTCGATTATACAATGATCAGATACCCATCCCTCCACCAGTGCCCATTTTCCACCACCATGGATAATATCCCCCCACCCCCATCCCCCCATCCCCCCTGTCTCTGTGGCAGGGCAATCCCCTGTGTTCTCTCTCTCCTTTTGGGTGTTGTGGTCTGCAAAAGAGGCATTGAGTGGCAAACATGTTCAGTCCATAGTGTTTATTTATTTATTTATTTTCTTTTGATTTGGGCCACATTGGCAGTGCTCAGGGCTTACTCCTGGCCCTGTGCTCAGGGATCGCTCCTGGCAGGCTCAGGGGACCGTGTGAACCCAGGCCGGCTGCATGCCAGGCCAGCGCCCTACCCACACTACCACCTTTCTGGCCCTGAAGATCTTTTGAGAGTTTCTCCTTCCAGGAGATCCAGGCACTGCTGGGGCCTGGGTTTCTGCATTTCAAGGCTTCCTGGGCCCCTTAAGGGGTTTGTATTTTAAAGGTCTTTGTGCCTTGGACTGTGTGGCTTGGACAAAGTGTCTTTCCCCAATTCCCACTGCTGGGTCCTGTCTGGCCTCCCTGCCAAGGGTCCCCCATCTCTGCCACCCCAGTCTCATCCTTCTTGGGCAATTCCAATGGCGCCTTCGGTTAGGGAAGCGTGGAGGTGGGGGCTTGGGGACACAGAGAGGTTGAGTGACTTGTCCAGGGCCTCACAGCAGATGAGTGGTCAGCTGGGACTGACATTTTAACAGTGTTGCAATGTTCTTCACTCCCAAAGTCAACCTTCCTGGCCTCAGTTTCCCTCTAGGCTGTAAACTGTGGCCCTTGCCTCAGAGGCTGCAATTGTGTGCCCTTGACAAACTCCACCCTGAGCAGATGGGGTAGGGGGTGTGGGGAGCAGTTGCCCAGCCTGAGTGGAGTCTGCGCCCCCAGACATAGAGGGGCCATTGGTGGCGGGCGCGGGGTGCAGGGGGGGGGGTGCCCAGCAGCTCACAGCTCTGCAGGAGACAAAGAAGTTTTGTACTCTGGCTAAGAGAAAGGAGTGTTCTCAGGAGCTGGGGCGACAGGTCAGTGGGGAGGGAACTCGCTTTGATCCTGACTATCAGATGGTCCCCCTGAGCACCATAGGGTGTGGCCCAAACACCAAAGAGAGAGAGAAGAGGAAGGAAGGAAGGAGAGAGGGAGGGAAGGAGGGAGGGAGGGAGGAAGGAAAGAGAGAGAAGAAAGAGAAAGAGAAAGAAAAGAAAGAGAAAGAGAGAAGGAAAGAAAGAAGGAAGGAAGGAAAGAAAGAGAAAGAAAGAAAGAAAGAAAGAAAGAAAGAAAGATAGAGAAAGAAAGAATTTATGTGTGTTTTTGGGTCACAATAGCGATGCACAGGGGTTACTCCTGGCTCTGCACTTAGGAATTGCTCCTGGCAGAGGTTGGGGACCATTTGGGATGCTGGAGATTGAACCTGGGTGGGTTGCGTACAAGGCAAGTGCCCTACCTGTTGTACTATTTCTCTGGCTCCTTTTAGATTTTTTTTTTAAAAGGAAGAAAGAAGGAGAGAGGGAGGGAAGAAGAGGAGGGAGGGAGAAGGAAGGAAGACAGAAGGACAGAAGGACAGAAGGACAGAAGGAAGGGACGGAAGAGAAAAGGGGAGGTGAGGTGGAAGGGAGGGAAAAAGTGTGAGAGAACAGGAGCAAGAGGGAAAGAGAATGAGAGAGCGAGAGAGAGGAGGGAGAGAGCGAGAGAGAGAGAGAGAGAGAGAGAGCAAGAGCGAGCAGGCGTTTTTAGGGCCGCCCCCGGGCAGAGGTCAGAGCGGGCGCCGCTGCATCCCCGCTGACCGCTGACTTGAGGTCACTCCACACAGTGTTTTTGGAGCAAGCGTGTGGCTCCCTGGGCAAACACTGCCCGGCCTCTGAGCGGTCCTGGGTTGTCTCCTCTGGCACAAACGAAACGAAACAAACCTGGGTCGTTTCTGCAAAGGAGCAGTTTGCCTCTCAAGTAAGTTCTGAGGAACAAATGTTGGTCCTTCGCGGCTCCAGCCACTTTCCTGTGTCGCCCTCCCCCAGGCCAGGCCCGTGCCTAGGCAGAGCCAGAGCCAGCCCCAGGGTGGGCTCTGGGCCCCACAGGTCAGCGCTGCCCGTGCCATTGGTCAGTGTTGCTCTCCTGCCTTCTGCCCCCCCAGGCACCCCTGGAGTGGCCCCTGAGACCCCGGTGCCCACTGCCCGGCCCTGGCCAGCATGTTCTCCTGCGTGAAGCCGTACGAGGGCCAGAGCTACTCGGCCCTGAAGCGGGCCTGCCTGCGCAGGAAGGAGCTCTTCGAGGACCCCAACTTCCCGGCCTCCGACGACTCCCTGTACTACAAGGGCGCCCCAGGGACCGCGGTCAGATGGAAGCGGCCCAAGGTCAGTGCCTGGGGCCGGGGCGGGAGGGCGGGTGCTGTGGGGCCAGGCTGTGCACCCCAACCCAGAGGCACACAGCGCTGGGGGCTGTCGGGATGCCAAGGAGGGCCTGGACGTACCTCGGTGAGCAAGTCCCACCAGGGGAGGAAACACTTTCCGCTCTCTGAGGGCTTCTGACAGTGCCAGAAATGAAAAGTGCTTTTGACTAATCAATAGTCACAAGGGCCCTTGCCAGCCAGCGATGGTGCCCGGAGCTTGGGGGCACGGGGGACTTGGAGAAGCTGCCCCCCCCCCCCCGCTGTTCCTCCCATACAGGCTACGGGGTCACACACACACACACACACACACACACACACAGACACATAGACAGACAGACACAGACACAGACACACACACACACACACACACACACACACACACACAGTCAGAGAGTGTCTGCGTTTACTGGGTGTTTCCTTTAACTGGTGCTGAGCCTGCTGTACCCCTGGGGCTGGGTGAGGCGGCTGTGGGGGTCACCGCCCACTTGCCCGCACACTGTCCTAGTGGCCTGAGTACTGGCCATAGGAGCTTTCCTGCAGAGTTCCCCTCCCCCCGACCCTCCCACTCTGCCCCCTCATACACATTTGGGAAAAATCAGATTTTGTTTTCCTTTCTGGATTTGGGGCAACACCTGGCGGTCCTTGGGGTTACTCCCAGCTCAGCTTGGGGGTCACTCCTGGGGGTGCCGGGAAACCGCGTGGTCCCAGGATTAACCCTCAGCATCCCACATGCAAAGCCTGTGCTCAGGCCCTTTAAGTCCCCTCCTGGGCCCGGTTGCATTTTCTTTTCTTTTTCTGTTTTGGTTTTGGGGCCACATCTGGTGGTGCTCAGGGCTAACTCCTGACTCTGCACTCAGGAATCACTGCTCAGGCAACACTATGGGATGCTAAGGGATCAAACCCGGGTCGGCCACGTGCAAGGCAAACGCCCCCTCCCACGGTACTATCTTTCTGCCCCGTAGTTTTGATAATCTCTTCCAACTGAAAACAAAAGCATTACAGGCCAGAGCGGTGGTGGGTGGGGCACTTGCCCTGCACGCCGCCAGCCCGGGCTTGATCCGGGCACCCCATAAAGTTCCCGAGCCTCTCCAGGGGTCACTTTTTTTTTAAAATTTTTATTAGTGACAAACCAAGAGGTACAGTTGTAGACTTACAAATTTTTGTGCTTGGGTTTCAATTATACAATGATCAAATCCCCATCCCTCCACCAGTGCCCATTCTCCACCACCAAGGATCCCAGTATCCCTTCCACCCACCCTCCCCCCCATCCCACCCTGCCTCTGTGGCAGGGCATTCCCTTTTGTTCTCTCTCTCTTATTGGGTATTGTGGTTTGCAAAAGAGGCATCGAGTGGCAATCGTGTTTGGTCTATAGTCTGCTTTCAGCATGCTTCTCCCATCCTGGGAGGATCCTCCCAACACCCTTTACTTGGTGCTCCCTTCTCTATCTGAGCTCCCTTTTCCCCTAGCATGTGTGGCTGGCCTCCAAGCCATTCCAGGGGTCATTCTTAAGAGCAGAGCCAGGAGTGACCCCTGAGCACCACCACTGGGGATGGTCCCCAAACAACAACAACAACAAAGGAAACAAAAGCATGATCCACATGTCCTGGAACTGCGCCCTGGAGAGGGAGGGAACGGGGGAGGCCCGTGAGGGGGGGGGGCAGAGCTCCATCACGCCCCCAGCCCACCTCCTGGACCACGGGGCCGAGCGGCCTGCTGCCCAATGCCCCCCTGCTCCTGCTCCTCAGCCTCCTGCCTGCCCCTCCCCCACGCCCCCACTGTGCCTTCTCCCTCCTCCGTGGGTGGGGAGGCGGTGGCCTTGCTGGTCACTGTGAGTCCTTGTGAGAGCATTCCAGCTCCCTGCGCTCCCTGACCCTCTCCTCCCACTGACCATCTTGTCGCCAGCAGGCCTGGCAGGGGCTGGGCTTGGGGTGGTGACCGGAGGCACGCTCAGCAGCGCCCTGCCCTGTGACCTTGGCACAGCCCTGGCCTCTCTGGGCCCTTCCCGAGCGGGGTCAGGAGAACTGCCCTCTCCTCACTGCCCTCCCAGGACCGGGCCCTTTGGAGGGGCCGAAAGAAAAAGCAGCATTGAGCAGGGCCCTCCCTAGCAGCCGTGGGGTCAGCTCAGGGCCAGGGGCAGCACGGGCAGAATTGGGAGGGGAGGCAGCTGCTGGGGCAAGGGGGTGGTCCCAGGAGGCCTGCCAGGATGGGGAGGCTGGGGGCTGAGGGGCAGCACAGACCTAGCAGCGAACCCCCTAGCGGGCTTGGTCCGGCCTCTTGAGCAGGGGAGGAGCTGGGGGAGGAGGAGCAGGGGGTGGGGCAGTGGGTGCCCTGGCTGGGGTGTGGGGGACACAGCGGGGCCCTGGAGGGGACACAGGGGTGCCCTGGCTCTGTCTAGTGTGTCCGAGCCACCTGGATGCCCAGGCCCTTTGCGCCTCCTTGAGGGACCCCTCAGCAAGCCTCCTCTCCCCTCCCCAAGTCAACCTGAGTCGTGGTGGATGGCCCAGCCTCTGGGACGTGTGAGCTGGAGGCAGTCACTGCCCCTCGGGCCTCAGTGGGCCCATCTGTGAAAGGGGAGCAGGGCCCCGGCAGCAGGGCCTGAGGCTGCAAAGAGGAGGAGCCCTGGGGTCAGACATGGGGGCGGCATTAGACTCGCCCCTGCCCCTTGCTGGGTCCCTTCCTCCTCCCCTGAGTCTGACACGGCCCTGGGGCCTTGTCCCTCTGTCCCCCGGCCCCGCAGGCGGCCCCTGCCCAGGCACCCAGACCCCATTCTGTCTCTCTCATTCTGACCCCATTCTTTCTCTCCGTCTCTCCATGTCTCGGGATGAGCCTGCAGGTCCCTTGATGGAACCGAGAGGGGCCCTGTCCTCAATTTCGGAACCTTCTGGAATGCCCAGCCCTGTCCCCTGGCAGTGCTGGACATCAGGTTCCTCTGGGTCACCAGAGAGGCCACTACACTGAGGTGGTGTGGGCAGAGGCCCAAGTGGCAGAGAGGGGTCATGGTGGGAGGTCGCCCTTTGTCTCTGGTGCGGGGGGAGGTTCTGCTCCTCCCTGGGCCTCGGTTTCCCTACTTGACTGGCTGATCCTGCTGTGGTCTTTGATTCAGGAGGCTGGTACCTGGGTGAAGGTGGATGGATGCAGGAGGAAGGGAGGAGGGGGAGCAGGGGGGGAGGAGGAGGAGGAGGAGCAGGGGTAGGAGCTGGGACAGGGGGAGGAGCTGGGGTAGGAGCTGGGAGAGGGGGAGGAGCTGGGGTAAGAGGAGGAGGAGGAGGGGTAGGAGGAGGAGCGTGGGGAGGGGGAGTTGGGGGAGGAGGAGGAGGAGAGGCAGGAGGAGGAGCTGGGGAGGAGGAGGAGCAAGAGAAGGAGGAGCGGGGCTGAAGCAATAGCACAGTGGGTAGGGTGTTTGCCTTGCAGGTTCAATTCGCAGCATCCCATAGGGTCCCCCGAGCACAGCCAGGAGTGATTCCTGAGTGCAGAGCCAGGAGGAACCCCTGAGCGTTGGCTGGGTGTGACCCAAAAAGAAAAAAAAGAGAGAGAGAGAAGGAGGAGCAGTAGAAGGAACAGGGTGGGGAGGAGCAGGGGGAGGAGGAGCTGGGGGAGGAGGAGCTGGGGGAGGAGGAGATGAGGGAGGATGGGCTGGGGAGGAGGAAGAGCAGGGGAGGAGGAGCAGGAGGAGGAGCAGGAGGAGGAGCAGGAGGAGGAGAAGCTTGGGGAGGAGGAGCACAGGGAGGAGGAGCACAGGGAGGAGGAGCTGAGGGAGGATTGGCTGGGGAGGAGGAGAAGGGGAGGAGGAGGATCAGGAGGAGGAGGCATGGAGAGGAGGAACAGGGGAAGGACGACCAGGGAAAGGAGGAGCAGAGGGAGGAAGAGCTGGAGGAGGAGGAGAAAGGGAGGAAGAGCTGGGGGAGCAGGAGCAGGGGAGGAGGAGCGGGAGGAGGAGCAGGAGGAGGAGAAGCTTGGGGAGGAGGAGCACAGGGAGGAGGACCTGCGGGAGGATGGCCTGTCGGAGGATGGGGAGCAGGCGAGGAGGAGAGGAAGGAGGAGGGATGGGGAGGAGAGTCAGGGAAAGGATGAGTGGGGGGAGAAAGAGCTGGGCGAGAAAGAGCAGGGGAGGAGGAGCGGGAAGCGGACCAGGAGGAGTAGAAGCTAGGAGAGGAGGAGCTGAGGGAGGATGGGCTGGGGGAGGAGGAGCAGGGGAGGAGGAGGAGCGGGAGGAGAAGGGATGGGAGGAGGAGCAGGGGAGGAAGTGCTGGGGAAGAAGGAGCAGGGGAGGAGGAGCAGGAGGAGGAGCAGGAGGAGAAGCTTGGAGAGGAGGAGCACAGAGAAGAGGAGCTGAGGGAGGATGGGCTGCAAGAGGAGGAGGAGCAAGGGAGGAGAAGGAGCAGGCGGAGTAGGGATGGAGGAAGAAAAGGGGGAGGAGGAGCTTGGGGAGGAGGAGCTTGGGGAGGAGGAGCAGCGGAGAAAGTGCTGGGGAAGAAGGAGCAGGGGAGGAGGAGCGGGAGGAGGAGTAGGAGGAGTAGAAGCTTGGCGAGGAGGAGCACAGGGAAGAGGAGCTGAAGGAGGATGGGCTTGAGGAGGAGGAGCATAGGACAAGGAGGAGCATAGGACGAGGAGGAGCAGGATGAGGAGTGATTGGGAGGAGGAGAAGGGGAAGAAGGAGGACGGTGAGGAGGAGCTGGCGGAGGAGGAGCATGGGAGGAAGAGCTGGGGTAGAAGGAGCAGGGGAGGAGGAGTGGGAAGAGGACCAGGAGGAGGAGAAGCTTGGAGAGGAGGAGCACAGGGAGGAGGAGCTGAGGGAGGATGGGCTTGGGGAGGAGGAGCATGGGAGGAGGAGGAGCAGGAAAGGAGTGATTGGGAGGAGGAACAGGGTAAGGAGGAGCACGGGGAGGAGGATCTTGGGAAGGAGGACGAGGGAAGAAAGAGCTTGGGGAGGATCAGGGGAGGAGGAGCGGGAGGAGGAGAAGCTT